CCTTAGAAGTGCAAAGACTTCCCAAATTCTTGAAATCTTATATCTGCTTAGTTTCATATCCAAATGTAAACAAAGCAATTTCTAAAGAAATAATGTATTTTTTGTTTTATTTACCAATCCAGCAGAGAGAGCATTTGTAGATATTGATAGTATGGACATTGGAATCAACACTACATGGAGAGTGTCAGTTTCATGTCTAAGTTAATTTTCATACCATGTGTTATTACTTTTTTCGCAGGCTCTATATGTAGTCCACTGGGTGGGTGGGGTATCATGAGAAATAGGAGGGTGAGGAACTTGTCCCTTCCTAATTATTTTGTTTAGGCTTAATGCTAATTGTTAACGATCATTTATAATTGTGACTTTTAATTTGGTCATTTTATCTATTTATTATTTGAGATATATTATTCAAATTTTCTTTTTTATAAATATGACTTATTTATTTTCTTCAGTTTTAAATATTGTTTTTTGAAATAAGGTTTAATAGATTTAGGTGATGGGATTTTATGTAGTGTTTTGAGTCACAGATAGCTGTAGATAGTGTAGTAGGAATTTATTTTCGTGTCTGTGTACTGCGCTACCGACAGCGCCATCAGGACTGAAAAACAGCATAAAATCCCATAACTTAGTCTAATAAACTTTATTTCAAAAAACAAAATTAAAAATTGAAGAAAACTCAAATAAATAAACAAACGATATGACAGAAACTAAAATGAATTCAAAATAATAAATAAATAAACAAGCTAAATATTGTGACAATAAAAGCATTAACCCTAAACAAAAGAACTGTGAACGGTTGGTTTCCTCATTTTCTCCCAAACCCTTAATCTTCCAAATTTGTTAATCCTCCAAATCCCCTAATCCTCAAATGGCCTATACAGATAAATTCACCTATCGCCCGGTTCACACTCCTCCCCAATCTTTTAAACAGGAGTAGAGGTTTATCACTTGCTTCCTGTTTAAGATAGGGTTTTCAGTTTCTTCTAAAGTCTTTGCCTTCTCTTTCACTTTGCATCTTAATGGCATCATCACCTTGCTTGGGGTGGTGCCTCTTACTCTGTAACCGTCTGCCTCGAGTGGCTCTTGGGCCTTGTACAGGGTAAACATCATTGTAAAAATATATATAGAAAAAAAAAAAAGAAAAAGAAGTAGCGATACATGATCTGACATAGTCTGATTCCTATATCTATACAGTCTATATCTATCTCTGTTCCCCCCTCCACACACACATATTGTACTTTACTTAAAAATAGTAAAACATATTTCTGGAAGATACCATTTTTAAGGCAAGCAGTCTAAGTAATTAAAGTTCTCAATATCAAGAGGTAAAGCATTAATCGTAATAAATAAAATCAAATGTTCACATATCTTATGTCTATTCAGAGTTCTGTAGAGATTACATCCACTCCTAAAGGGACTTCATTTTCAGAAAACATATGAACAATTAATTTTATTTCTTACCATTGATTTTTATGGTTTATCAACCCTTTGTGGGTTAGTTAATGTTGAAACATATTTCAGATTGTAAGAGATTATTTACAATACTTGGTGTTTCCAAGCAGTCCCCATTTAAGTACCGACCGGGATTTGCATTGCTTAACTTCAGTGATTGAGTGAAAACTGGTATTTTCTACTTATTACTAGGCAGATAGGTTATATATTAATCTATTCAGGCTACTATTCTCATCTTGGTTGTTATAGTTAAAATGTTTTGGCTATCCTACTCTCCGTCTTTCTTCAGGTGCCTTTTGTATTCAGTAACCTTCAGGGTATTTTAAAATGAAACCTTTATTTAATCCACATAGAATTTATTTTACTTCTTCCACTGTCTTTGCCAGGGGGAGATAACTTGTACCCTGTATTTCTTCCTCATTGTTTTCTCCTTGCAATGCCAAATTTTATTTATGACCACTGGTCTTAAGTATATAATACACACTTCCTGACTCAGAGATTGAACTCATCACTATCAGCTAATAAGATGCAGTCATAAGAATTTCAAGATGATAGATGAACAAGATACTTGACAAAATCCACAGAATAATCTGCAATGTTATCAATTCTGACTTGTCATCTCGGCATCAGTCCCCTTCCCAATTTTGTAATGTCGCTTCCCTGTACCTTTTCTATATTTTCATGGTAATTGTTCAGACAAGATTTCCTCTTTTGTTTCTTGGCTTCAAGAATTTGACAACTAGATCTTATCATTTCCCTTTATCATTGAAATGGCTAGGGGAAACCGTAAGTTCTATGCTAATAGTTTCTTCTTTCGCACTTATTGCTTGTAGAACTCTCTTTCGGCTTCTTGCTTTCCTGTCAACTAAAACCTTCAAGAATTTAAATGCAACATCAATCGTTATCTTCTGTCTCTTTGAATCCTGCTTTTCTGTTGTTTTTTTCTTCTCAATGACATTTTCTCAGTCCTATCACACTCAGTATCCCCTTGCATCTTAGTGGCTTTATCACCTTACTTAGGATGAAATGATTAAAAAAAAGAGATGCACTTTTATTGACTCGGTAAAATGATCTAATTTATAAAGGTATGAACTGTGGAATGAGAACAATCTGCCCTTGTGGATTAGATACAGCATTCATTTTGAAATTTCCAGAAGGTTAACCGAATACGACACTTAAGAAGAATTGGGAATAAAATGGACGAAATATCGTGATGATAATAACTAAGATGAGGATGCTTGTCTATATGTATTCTTCTTCTTTTATGTCCCTTCAGGATGTGGGCAATCATGGCTCTCCACAACTTCCTGCCTTTTGAGTCTTTACCATACCTCTTTACCTTATTCTGCCATAATGTATTATTGTGCTAATTCCCAAAAGGTTCCTAAATATAACAGACACCTGAAAATGGTCAGAGAATACAATTGTGGCTATTACAACCAAGATGAGGACACTCATTTGAATAGATTAATGCATGATACGAGGGCTGATCAAAAAGTATTAGGACTGGTGCTATAAAAATAAAACTACAACCCATATCAATTCTGCATTTAATCTCCTTCAAAGTAGTCCCCTTTTGAATCCATACACTTTATCCAGTGTTGTTTCAAGAGATAGAAGTAAGCCTGGGACCTCTTTTTGGGATTGCAAGCAACTGGATAACCTAGATGCCTTACTTTCAAGAAGGATTTGATTTTTGGAAAGAGGAAAAAGTTGCAAGGGGTGAAAGATTTGTAGAATATAGTGGTTGAATATGATAGAACCTCTGTGGTGTGGTGAGACAAACATTCTCTACTTCCCTTCCAAGCACGGCTGTATACAATGTATGCAAGCAAGGATGTTATAAATTAGTACGGATATGTGACAGGAATCAAGGTCTATCTGTGCCAATTGGCTTTGCTCTGCACACTTTAACTATGTTACCATAACAACAATTCTGATACTTTTTGATCAGACCTCATGATGCTAATTCCCAGAAGATCTGTAAATATAGCAGACACCTGAAGAAGGCTGAAATGGCTGAAACATTGTGACTATAGTAATCTAAGATGAGGATATTAGTCCAAAAAGGATACAAAAAGAAATCTATATCTGAACAACTACTCTAGTGTCTCAATTTAAGAAATTAGAATTTTAAGTGAGACCAAATTTCAATTTGCATTAAAATATGCATATTTAAAAAAAAAAACTAAAAAATATCATTTAAAAGACTTACAAAAGAAATATGCTCCTGACAGAATAACTGACCTGAAATCCTTTAAATACCAAGGCCATCATCATAACCACTACACCATAGGAACATTGGCCTCTAGTAACTTGCGAGCTTGATAATTGAATGAATTTGTCTTCAGAATCTCTTTCAGCTAAAGACAGCAAGGAACAGGGTTGTGTAGCTTAACTGTTTTTGTAGGGGTTTCAATGTCTAATTAGGTTAAAGAATTAACTTGAGAACTATGCAAGGTACAAGTAATTTGAAAGCCACAAAAAGGGGTTCCCTTGTTTAAATCAATGCCTAGATGTCAAATTCAATAGTTTAATAACTAAGGCACTAATATATAGCAGCAAAATTCTGCTGCCATACTGTGATACCAATTTTGCAAACACAGTTCACAGACTGCTCTTTATCTTGTTTTTGCTTTGTTTTTCTTTTATTTTTTATCTTTTTTTTTTCTTTTTGTGCATTTTTTGGTTTTAAAGCTGATATAAATTTCATACAAAATTGCCTCAAAACTAGTCTCTAACTTTGCGGTTTTCAGTTTCTTAATAATCTCCAAAACTAGAAAAACGAAAAGGCAAAAGTAAGTGAGGTTTCTTTTACGATATTTCTTTCATCAAGCATTGTCAGGATTGAATGTTCTCAATATATATGAACAGGATTGTGGGCTGGGGTAGCAGTGATGATGTCGGCACTGTAAGACTGAAACGTTCTTTTATTTACTTTTAACCAAGCAAGAGAGATGAAAGGTTCTTCGATGCTGTCTGCACACCATTTCCCATCTTTGTGTAGAGTTCTGCTTCCAGAAGCTTCTTGTCAAAATTGTTGCGATCATAATATTGGCGAATCTTGTCCCGCATCTTCTGTGATTCAATTGCAGAGGCACGCACCTTGAAGAAAAATTTTGGAAAAAGAAAAAACAATTTATCATTTTTAAGAGGATATTTTGACAAGTTCCTAAATGCTTAGCTTGAGTCATAAATAATTTTTGCTTGCTTTTCAACTTTATTCTTCAAGAATAAAGTAGAATTACATTTTATTTGGTTCTATATTCAGCAATATTTGCAATGGCTTGTTGCCATTTATTAGGCAGCTCTTTGAGATAAACAGATACTTAGAAAAGAGAAAGAGAGAGAATGAAAGAGAGAGAGCTGAACAAACTGAGACAGAAAGACAGTGAGATAAATAGACTGAGAATGAAAGAGAGTGAGAGGTAGAGAGAGAGAGAGACCATAGTGAAACATGAAGATATTGATATTTTGAAATGAGTAGAAATAAATAGATGCCGAGAGTAAATGAATAGAAAGATATGAACAGACATAAATAGATATGATCAGACTGTGATAGATAGATAGATAGATAGATAGATAGATAGATAGATAGATAGATAGATAGATATGAACAGACTGAGACAGATAGTTAAATAGGTACATAGATATGAACAGACATAGATAAATAGATAGATATGAACCGACATAGATAGATAGATAGATAGATAGATAGATAGATAGATAGATAGATAGATATGAACAGATATAGATAGATATGAACAGTCATAGACAGATAGATAGATAGTTGGATAGATAGATGGATAGATATGAACAGTCATAGATGGATAAATATGATCAGACTGTGATAGATAGATACGAATAAACTGAGACAGATAGATACAAACTGATTGAGACAGATAGATAGATAGATAGATAGATAGATAGATAGATAGATAGATAGATAGATAGATAGATATGGAAAAACTGAGATAGATACAAACAAATTGAGAGATAGATAGATATGAACAGATGGAAATAGACAGAGAGAGAGAGAGAGAAAGAGATGTAAATAGATGAGGTATTGTTACAATTAGGTCATAAATAATTTCCACTTTTCTTTATTAACTTTATTCAGTTATATATTCATCATTATTTTCAGTTACTTGCTGATACTTATCAGACCTTTGAGACATTTTCAATAACATTCCATAAATTTTGATGTGAAAAATTATTCAGCCAAATACATAGATACATGTGTGCGTGTGTGTGTGTGTATGTATATGTGTATGTGTGTTTGTAAAAAATCAGATGTAAATAAAATATATCTGTAAAAATAAAATATATCTGTAAAAAAACAATATAAATAAATACAAAAGGAAAGCTTTCCTTTACCAACATGTTCTTCTCCCCTGAGGAACTTTATCAGGCTCATGCATGTTGGCTTGGGAAAGGAGCATTTCCTTAAAGAAAGGAGATATTTGAAAAAATCCAGGACATAAGTTAACATTTTGGCAAGAATCGATTTTTGCACTCTCAAGAACTTTCCATCTAAGTTATTTTCTTTTTTTTAATAAGTGGCATTCTTGAGGTCAAAGTTATGAATTATTGCCAGACTTATTAAAAGAGAAAATAACTTACTTAGAAAGAAAGCTGACCATAAAAATTTTAAAGAATTAAAAGAAAATGATTAACTCAAGACATTCTATTATTTTATATAAAGAAATATTTAAATAACTTTATCAAATTGAAATAAAAGGATAAATATTAATCACATTAAAAAGTATATATATATATATATATATATATATATATATATATATATATATATATATATATATATATATATATATATATATATATATATATATATATATTTATAAATATGGTGGAGTAATGGATAGCGGCTTGGATTGAGGAATCAGAGGCTGAGTTCAATTCCAGTCGAATCCGTTACATTTTTCAGAACCGTGCTAATACCCTTGGGAAAGATATGAATCCTCTTACTCTCCCTCCAGCTATGGGTAAATAGCAGGACAGACTGGGTTCTATAGCCTTGGATGGCAACTGGTCTTGGAGAAGGACAAGCCTGAATTCAAAACCTGCGGAGGGTCGTTTGGGAACCTTGTGGCATTCGCTGCACCAGGTCTCTGTATTCGTCCCTTCAAAAAGTGTGGATGGTCCTGCACGAAGCCTTCACCACTATAATCAAATCTCATGTGATATTATATAATCGGGCTGTCGGTTTCCTGAAACTGATCTGCTTGACCCTCATACATCGAATCTCGATGGGAGAGTCAATTATTATTATATATATATATATATATATATATATATATATATATATAAAATAACCATTAGAATAGACTACCCACAATGCACCACAGACCCATATATAAAGATAGTTGAGAAAAAACACAACACATGGTCTGATGATTGCATTTAGTATGAAACAGTCTGTTGCCTCAGAGTGTTGTCTCCAATGTTCACTTTTATATTTACACTAGCTTAAAAGATTAGACAAACATAATAGTTAATTAATAATAACAAATTTTACTTAATTAGCTCTGATGTTTCTCTAACTCTTCAAATGTTGAATTTATAACTAATTCTAATTTCTGTTTTCCCATCTTTATACTATATTAATTGTCCCCTGTTCTGTCACCCATCAAATAAAACTAATTGTTTGTACGGAAAATAAGAATCTACATACATCAAATCATCTTTAAATTAAGTGGCAGCAGAAGAATTATCATTGAACTTTTAAAAATTAAGCTTAAATATTAATTCAATACTTAAATACAGCGATCAATTTTGAGTTTTTCTGTAGTTTATTGATGCCTATTGCATCTATTCCTCCCTAGCTATTGTGATGACGGTCAAACCAAGAGTCCTCCATAGGAGCTAGCTTAAATGCCGCCTGATAGGGTGGCTTTTGAGTTAGTTTATAATAAAACATGCACTGCAATTTTGGATACAAAAGGAAAATAAAAGTTACTCCTCTTGAACCATGAAAGCAACAATAATGGCTAGTATAATATATCAATATATATTTTTAACCTCACATAATCTGGCAACCTTGAATCTGAGTTCAACAAAATTCATTCCCTGCGCTTAAGTTTTCAAGCTAGATGAGCTATGAATCATTGAAATCAAAGCAGTGAGAGAAGAGGAGTTGCTTGGGGACACACATGCACAAAAACACACACATACACCATACTTTATATATAAGATACACTCTATCTCTGATATTGAGCAATTTATCCCATAAATATAGCATACCTTAAAACTATATTTCTTCTAGGGCTGAGGGAGACTGGCATATGGTTGTGCTAGTCTGAAATAGACTATACTTATATGAGGTAATTTGGGATTTTTTGTTGTATAAAATATACGCTCTGTTATAATAAACTAGCAGCATGGCCTGGCATTGCCCGTGCTTGATTCAAAAATCGTACGACTCATACAGTAATCGCTATCACTTGACTTAAAATATTTTTGCCCTTCCTTGCCTTTAAAAGGAGTGCCCTTTGCTGTGCTGATGTTGCTACATGCCTTACTTCTTGCCTATCTCACACTGCAATTTTTCTAAGCTCTATACTAAACGTTAAATCTGTTATGAAAAAAAAGAACTAAACAAAATGAACACAAAATGATCAGCTTTAAAAAAGGACTCATAACTGGAAAAAACTGAATGAAAAAAAAATGTTAAAACAAATACTTTTTTCACACCCAACCCAGTTCTGCGGAATCAGAATCAACGTTTAGTTTAAGCAAGCGAATGAGCCAATTGGAGTAAAGTGCCATGCAGATTTAAATTTTTCCCACTTGTGACGAATGCAGCTATCAATTTTTTTTGCATGCTAGCATGCTAGTTAACATTCATGTCAGTCAGCTGTTGGCTCTCACACTGAATCTTCCTGCCTATTTGTGGCAGCCAGCTATAGGCTCTCACTCTGGCCAGTAGAAAATGGCTGCGAACTACATGAAAACTGCTGTAGAAGCATGAAAAAATTGATTTTTACCACTATTGATGGGAGTTGAGAAATGCAAAATCAGACTTGGAGCATGTGCATGTAAATTTTGGTGCAAATCCATCGAAAATTGCGGCTGTGCATTTGTTACACACATCCTGCCTTTTATAGATAGCGATGCATTGAACTCTCTCTATAGATCAGTTTTAATATCTGATATTACTCGGATTCACCTGGATCATATACCAACAGATCTATTATTTGTACTATATATATATATATATATATATTTTAAGTGTTATTTTTAGTGGATACCCATATTTGAGGAGACATTCATTTATTTTAAAGACTATTTTTTTTTTGTCTACTGGCCTTAACATTTGAAAAATCTTTTTAAAGAAAAATGCCCCTCCAACAGTATACAAATCTATATCATCCTTTTCAGGAGTAACCATCATTGGATCGACCATGCCTTTGATCACCTGGCTACAAAGAGCTTCATTATCAAACATGATTCTATCTGCCTTCACTGCCTTTATTCATTGGGTTTTATTCTTTATTGCTTTTATTCATTCGGTTTACTGTTCATTTATATATGACAGCTGGCCACTCGTATTTGAGGATACCCGTCTACCAGGGTGACGAGCCAATCCCTGTTGCAGACGCTTGCTCAGGCACATTTGTGTTTGCTCAACACCCACAGAGCCAACCTGTGGTTTATACTGCAACTATGCTGAGCAGACCTTAGTTACAGTTTCTGGGAGAGAGTTGAACAAGGCCAGCACGCTCAAGCCCTTGGCCACAATAACTTGTGGCTTTATGGCTACCTCTCTTAAATTAAATACCTCTCTTAAATTAAATGTTACATACAGTGGAATTATGCTCCATTTGTTCTCATTTTATCTGGAAATATATATATATATATATATATCCTACATGCAAGCCACTAATCTGCCACTGGGTGGCATCTCACTAGCGTTTACCACAGGAATCCCACTGTCAGACCACTGGCATGTTCATCTTGGCAATGTTACCACTGGCAGGCCACTAGAGGCTCACCTATTGCCTGCCAGTGGCTGCCATGAGATGACCACTGGCATTGCCATTGGTGGCCTGTCAGCAGGCCACTAGTGACTTGTGTGCAGAGTATTAATAATAAATATACATTTTTCCCTCATTTATTATTAATATATAATTTATAGTTCTGTTAATTTACATCAAGCACTATTTAATAAAATCAGCACTCAATGTGTGATATATATATATATATATATATATATATATATAAAAGTGAACATTGAAGTCAACACTTACAGGTAACAGGCTGTTTCATGCTAGATGCAATCGTGGCCTGACAATTATGTCTAGCATGAAACGGCCTGACGATTACGTCTAGCATGAAACAGCCTGTCGTCTCTAAGTCTTAACTTCAATGTTCACTTTTATATTTACACATGCTCTATCTCTGATATTGAGCACTTTATCCCATAAATATAGCACACCTTAAGAGTATATTTCTTCATATATATATATATATATATATATATATATATATATAAAATAATAATAATAATAAAGTTAATGATCAGAGCTGAATTAGACCAAGAAACAGTAATATTAAAAAAAGTGCTCAATACACATATAAAAAGATAAAAATTTAACATGTAGAGCTTTTAAGAATAGAAAATTAGGAAATCAACCATGGTTTCAAACTTTTGGTATCTTCAGGCGATTTCAGACAATATAAATTATTTTGAAAAAAAAGAAACTATGAACATATCCATAATTACTTATATTTCATTGAATCATCGCTTTGATATCTGTTCCTCACAAATTATTAAAAAGACCTCATTGCCTCTTGTTTAATACTGTTACCATTTAGCTTTGACTCGCACTACTAAGAATACAGAATCTAGGGTTAAGGAATTTATTTTTGATTCCTGTTAGTTACAGAAAAAAATGTTAGCAAAAAATCTAATTTGAGTCTGGTGACTGCAGGCAAGAAACCCTAGTGCTCGAGTTAATGACACCCATTTCTCGGCTGATACCACCCCCGAAAAAAAAAAGAAACTTTTGTTAATATCTACATTGGGAGGGATAATCTCTGCAAAGATATCCAAAGTGTTGTCAATTAAATACTCAAGTAAAAACTGTCGAAGGATTAAATCTTGGCATGCCATTTTACAAAGAAACTATTTTCTATCTTTCAACATATACATCAAAATATCTGGACAGCAAAAATAAAAAAAAAAGGAAGAAAAAACTATTGCGGATTGCAAGAGAAATAAGTGTTTTTTCTTTTTATAAAAATAATATTCAACCTTTACAAGGCCCAAGAGCCATTTGAGGTAGAGTTACAGTGTAAATGCCAACAAGCACAGTTATAACGATTAACCATAGATTTGAAAAGGTTAAGATTGTGGCAATTGTGAAAGCATCCTCTTGCAACTCAGTAATGTTGTTCTACAGGAGGATATTGAGAATATGTAGAGCACCTAAGCAATGAAGAAGTCTTAAGGAGAATGGAAACAAAAAGTGTACTTATACTCAGAATCAGAAAGAGACAGGTAAAATTTCTTGGAGATATAATGAGGAAAAAGGCTTGGAGAATTTGACACTCACAAGGCATATTGAATAAAAACAAAAAAAAGAAGGCAGTGGACCTTCTGCCTGATATGCTTGTGCAAATGGATAGCAGAGTGGTGGTAGGAGGGTTAGTAAAGGTACAAACATTGCCAAAGGATACTAATGGAGGTTGTGAAGAGCCATGACCACCCACCTCCAGAGTGGACACAATACTTAGAAAAAAAATCTACAAAGAAAATCTACTAAGAAAAAATATAAAAAAATAATAAAATATGAGAAAAAAAACTCTGGATTTCAACATTTAAAAAAAAATTTAAGAAAGTAATTTCTAAAGAAGTAATGGATTTTTCTTATTTATTAATCTGACATATTTTCATTTCTTTAAATGTCATTTCTAGTGGATATCCGTTGTTGATCTAATCTGATATACCTTCAGCAGGCAAAGAGATTTATCCTCTCTACTGGTAAAACGGTGCCAAACCTAATACCTCATTCATCATTACCATTTTAACTGCAACCCTCTATCTCGAGTGGCTCTTGGGCCTTGTATTTGGTGAACAATGCTATTAAAAGACAACCTTCTCTTACATCTCATACCTTATTCATCATTACCATTTTAACTGCTAGCCTCTATCTTGAGTGGCACTTGGGCCTTGTATTAGGTGAACAATGCTATTAAAAGAAAACCTTCTCTTACATCACATACCTCATTCATAATTATCATTTTAACTGCTACCCTCTATCTTGAGTGGCTCTTGGGCCTTGTATTAGGTGAACAATGCTACTAAAAGAAAACCTTCTCTTACATCACATCCCTCATTCATCATTACCATTTTAACTGCAACCCTCTACTCCGAATGGCTGTTGGGCCTTGTATTGTGTGAATATCAGTAAAATAAAATAATGATGTGTTATCCTAGTGATATGCTTCAGTTATTCTGAGAATTTAATTGTCACACATTTTAGCCAGTCAAATATTAGCAACATTAAATCATTCTCCCCAAAATTACCTGACTTAGCTGGTAATCTTTAGCTGCTTGCATTTCTTCACATTTCTTGAATTTTCCTTGGAGATTTTCCTCTGTTTTCTTTTTCCATAACTCCAGACATAAATTGACCCTAGAATATAAAAGAAAAAAAATAATCAAGTCTACCAGAAAGTTCTTTTCGCTAGGTTTTTAACAGAATGTTCTTCAGGGTGTTTTTTTTTTTTCCTTTTTTTGTTTTCTAGATTTTTGAAAACCAAAATGTCATTGGATGGAATACATTTATGCCATTTTATTTTTACAACTTACAACCAGGCTTCCAGAAAATTGTGTAAAGTGTTTGGAGATCTTGCAAACATGGGGAGGATTTCTAGTTCTTGGAGGATCATTTTGTAATATAGGTTAAATCAGTGGTTGTTTTTCTATTCATGGCCCCCATTTGACTGATGATTTTTTACACGGCCCTCTCCCAGTCGTTTACTTTAAGAAAAGTTAATTTTACAATTTCTCGAACAATTAAACAGTGATATTTCTCAATATATAAGCTTTGAAACTGTTTGTTTTAAAAGCCAAAGCAGTTAGATGAAATAAACTTTTATTTCAGCCAAAAAAAGTTCAAGGGTTTGATTTAAATCTGACTACCATATGAAGGTGTTGTGGGATGGTAGGGTTTTTAGATAAAAATAGGTTTCATCGAATAGTTACCCTGCAACAATTATTGTGGATTCTATGTGAGTCCAGGTAAAAAAAATAATGAGTAAAACAAAACAATAAATCTAAAACAAATGATAATACACATATTAACAAAGGAATTACATGTGACAAAAGGAAAAAAAAATTAAACTAGCTATAATATGAATGTGCTTGTTTGTGTGTGTGTACATGGCAAGCGTGTGTGAGGGAGTACAAAAATCAGTAAAGAAAACTATGAAAATAAATGTGATTCTACTTAAATAGAGTCAACTCACCCTCATCCCCTTCATATTACATTGGTAAGGAGGAAGTTCCACTTGGACAGCTTCTTCTCCAGAACTATCATTTTGTTTCCCTGATCACTACAATCATAATCTTTTCAAGTTTAGTGTCGACCAGTATCTATTCTACATATCCTCATAAACTGTACTTCTAATTTCATCTTTTTTACATTCTTGCAACAACCTCATTCAGTAACACTCTATCTTGAATGGCTCTTGGGTCTTGTATTGCATGCAAAATAGTATAAAAACATCCAGAAACTTGGATGAGTTGAGAAGTATATAAGCTTGGCACTTTGTGAATTGTTCAATAAAAATTGTTGCCATCATTTCACCATTTGTTCTTCTTCACCATGTCAGCTCAACCCTGATCTATTTTTAGATCCAGTTGATACTGGAGATGAAAAATGGATCTTTAGGGAATGATGTGAGAAAAAGTGTTTATTGCCTGCTTGGCTAACCAGTTTCTTTAACTTTCAAATGGGGATTGCACCCAAAGCAGGTCACGCCCTGAATATGGTGAATTATAAAGTGACTCACTATGAGCATTGTTAAAGAAATCAAGAATGTCAAATCCAAAAAGTACTGCAAGCAACTTGATAAACTGATGTAATGGAATAACTTGTCTCCCCCATGAGTGACTACACTATAGATAGTAACTACCTATAAGTATCGGTAAGGCAATGGACTACGAGTAACTTGCTGGGATTAAAACGCACCCCGAGATTTTAAAAATTTCATGATAATAAATATTTCGTAGATAAAAATCTAATATTTGACAATGAGTGGGGGGATGAGACCCAAAACAAACTAAATATCAAACAAGGCAAAAGGCTAGGTATAAGATAGTTAGTGATGACCAGCCTCAACCCCCACCCATTTCGGCCTTGTGCCATAATTGTGTAATTTTTTCATAATAAATATCAAGGCAAAATAAATATAACTGATGTTAGTAGGACACGTCCAACCCTCAAAAAGAAAATAATATTAATGGGCATTATGACATCATAGACAAACACAAAAATGAGACAATCATATTAATGGAAATTATGACATCATAGACAAAAAATAGACAAGAGTATTAATGGGCATTATGACATCATAGACAAACACAAAAATGAGATAATCATATTAATGGAAATTATGACATTATAGACAAAAAATAGACAAGAGTATGAATGGGCATTATGACATCATAGAGAAACACAAAAATGAGACAATCATATTAATGGAAATTATGACATCATAGACAAAAAATAGACAAGAGTATTAATGGGCATTATGACACCATAGACAAACACAAACCTGGGTATTATGACATCATAGACAAACATAGTAAGGAACTAAGTTAGAAATAGACATTATGACATCATAGAAAGGAGACATTCATATGAATTGTTATTGTGATATCATATGCAAATGGTAAAGGGTAATAATGATATTTGATCTTACAAAATATTTTGCATCAAGAGAAAATATCTTTTTGTCTTACTTCCTCATGTTGACAATTTGGCATTTCTGTCTGGACAATCTTTCCTCCCGAACTTTCTTGGCTTTTAAGTCAGCAAATTTTGCTGCAGCTGCTATCAGATGTTTCCTTTCCTAAAAAAAAAAAAGAAAAGAAAATTCAAAAAAATACATCTTCTCTCTTTGCCAATTCCATTAAAATTGGGAAATATCAGAAAATATACTGATAATTTCTTAGAATTATTTTTTAAAGAAATTGTTAAAATCAACTTATAAATTATTTCTCATTATAGAAGAAATTCAAAGAAAATCTTTTTTTTAAATATCATATTTGGCAGCTTATAAGGTTGACTTGATTCTAAAAAAAATGGTTAAAAATTACCCAGCACCTTATCTGCAAAATTGAGACCACAACACTCACAAGTTTCTAAGTGGTTTCAGATATGATTCTTCTTCTATAATGTCCCATGGCTTTTCAAGACATGAACAGTCATGGCTCTCCACAACTACCTATTTTCGTTGTTCTAAGTAAATCCTGTCTCTTTACTACTTTTAGTGTTTTGTTTGACATCTATTCACTCAAATTTGTTAAGTAGGTTGCATGCTGATTTTTTTAACTTCGCATACCTCCGGCCTTATGAGTTAAATTCCCCAAGCCTTCTTTCTCCATCATATGTCCCAATAATTTTCATCTCTTTCTTTCTGATGCTTAGCAGCATTTTCTTTGTAGTTGCTATCTCCTTCTGAAAGTTCCTTGTAATTCATGTTCTCTGTTAATGCTATTCTTAGCATTTTTCAGTAGAACCACATTTTTACAGGTTCAAGTATCTACTCCTGCTTTGAGGAAATAGCCCAACATACGATAGTCGGCTGAAAGGTTCATAGGCTAACCAAGATACTCTCATGGAATGGGACCAAATGAGGCTCATTTTTCAACATAGTCCCCCTTGTGGCCCATGCACTTCTTCCATTGATGTTGCAGCATTTGGATCCCATTGGTAAAGAAGCTTTCATTCATTTGGTCAAAAATCTTATCAACAGCAGATATGACATCATCGTCATTGGGATACTGATTCCAAACCAAGTGCTTTTTCATGTTGAGTAACAATTTGTTATATAGGAATAAAGTATCGCTGCTGACACTTGAGTTTGAACCTAGATTGCCAGTGAGCAAACAGAGGCGATCCCATTATTGAATTAAGTAGAGCATGTGACCATAGAGGAAACGCATATATGTAGAAAGTAGCTGATGACTAATGATCACTATTTCTATTCGGATCATATTTCTAATCTATCTTCAATTATTATACGGACCGCTATTCTATACACTATTTCTCTATCAGAATTACTATTTGAGTGAGTATTATCATGTAAGTACTACTAGTATGTTATTCGAAGGCATATGACCCAGTAATGGTCAACAGTGTACTATAGTGGTATCTGCAATTACAAAGTCTCTACTACAATCTCTCTCTCTCTCTTGTAATGGCATTCACCCGAGGTGGGTTGATCAGGCTCCAATATTGGAATTTCATGGGAATTTGGAATTCACAAGCGGTCCCCAACCCGCATGTATAGCACATGAGATTTGATTATAGTAGTGAAGGTTTTGTGCAGGACCATCCACATTTTTTGAAGGGCCGATTACAGAGACCTGGTGCACTACATGCCACAAGGTCCCCAAACGACCCTCTGCAGGTTTTGAATTCAGAGTTTTTCTTTTCCTAGACCAGTTGCCATCCAAGGCTATAGAACCCAGTCTGTCCTGTTATTTTTTACCATAGCTGGAGGGAGAAGAAGAAATTCATACCTTTCCCAAATTTAATTAGCATGTAAGTGAATGTAATGGATTCGACTGGAATTTGAACTCAGCTCTCTGATTCCTCAAATAAAGCTGCTATCCATTACTCTACCGTGCCTCCTCTCTCTACTACAATGAGCATTACGAAAATGACAACTAGTATTTGTTGACATCACAAAAGTGGCAATGAGTGTTCATTGATATCACAAAACAGTCAGATGGGTTCAAATCAGAAGAATAGGGAGATTGATCAACCAGTTCAACACTAAAGTCACACATAGCAGCCATTGAAACCAACTACCTGTGTGCTGCAGAATTTTCCTGATGAAACAAGACCCCTTTTGCTAGTTTTCCTGGGCATTTGGTCTTGATAGCCTTTTGTAAATGCCTCAGTAAGTTCGCATAGTAAACCCATGCTTTGAAGATAGTGAATAAACACAATGCCTTTTTAAATCCGAAAAATCTGGGGCCATCACCTTCCCTGCAGATGAAAAAACATTGGCCTTCTGTGGAGCAGGTGAGGAAAGGTGATTCCATTGCATGGGTTCTCTATTTATCCCTGGCTCTAAGTGATGAACCTAGCACTCATCCTGAGTTAGGAAATTTTCAAGAAAACCAGCCAGATCTGACTCAGATTTTCCCATGGTGTTCAAGTGATCAGCCTGGTGTGCTTTTGATCAGGTGTCAGAAGACGTGGCACCCACCGAACAGAAATATTTGTCATGCCAAGTTCATTGTGTAGAATCTTCTCAACTCTCTCACAGGATATTCTAAAAGCATTGACTATTTGATTTATAAACAATCAGCTGTCATCCATCACTATGTGGTGAACATGGTCAATGTTTTCCTCAGTGGTGCCAGTTCCAAGACATCCAAGCCTTGGGTTGTCTTCAAGACTATCCCTTCCCTTCTAAATTCAGCTGCCAACTTTTGCACTGTCAATAAATCTGGAGTGTCATCCTCTAATGTAGGAAGCCTGTCAACATAAACCCTTTTCCTGCAGGTACTTGAAAACACCACTGTTATGTAGTGGTTTCACAGTGGAGGCTTGTACTAAGTCGGTCCTAAAATAGGTTTGACGTACAAAACATTAGGAACTTGATATAATAGGTAATGACACAGAGATCTAGTTGTGGTCACTGATACTTTAATATCTGACTAACGGTCATCTGACATCGACTGACTGACCAATTCTCTGAGCCGACCTGTTACTCTTGCTACTCCTACTTATTATCGGTGGGAGAGTCTATTAACAATAAAATAGGTGTGATTCACTATAACAACCACAATGCCAAATTTTGTCCATTTTCAAGAGAAACCACTGCTAGTTACATCTGAAGCCTTAATTGAATAGCCAGATATCAGTTTACCAGGACAGAAACAATGCAGTTATTAATAAGAAGTGTTGAAATTAATGCATGCAAGGTTTCACAGCTCTAGCATCACTCCTTCAGAGTCAGGCTGTGAAGTTTCTTTTTAGTCCACCCTCGTATACTGCCATATAGAAGATCAGATAATTACATCATAGTTCCACACTCATCTTGTTTATCAGAACATTATACAATTCAATAATAATTTCTGAAAGGCATCTTTTGCTATTCCTAAGTACCTTTGAAATTTTCTGTCATATTTTCTGTCATCTGTTACTACCTTACCCAGAGATTTAAATTTCTGCATCTTTTTTTTAGATTTTCCTTGATTATAAATTATGGGATGTTATTTGTTACTACCTTACCCAGAGATTTAAATTTCTGCATCTTTTTTTTTAGATTTTCCTTGATTATAAATTATGGGATGTTATTTAGTCTTTTGAAGTCTCCATTAACTCACAACTCACAACTTGTCCAGTCTCTTTTGCTGACAGCCATGCAGTCTGTCTTCCTTGAAAAAATCATTGAATCATAATCAGAATTGCTCTTTTTGCAATAAAATACACAATTTATCTGAAAAGCAGAAAAATTATTTAAGGACTGAATAATGATGCTATGAATTTATGTGAATAAAAGAGTTTGTCAAACCGTTGCAAATGTTTTCATCAAATAAATATCTAGATCTGCTCAATATATTGTTACCTTTTCTTTTTCCTCGTTGTACAGTTTTTGCCGGTTCCAGATTTCTTCTTCAAGTTGTTTTTGTAGCTTTCTGTTTTGTTCTATCCGCAATTCCAACTCTTTTCTGGAGAGAAAATCAGAGAAAGAAAACTATCAGTAAAAGAATGGAATGATCTTTAAGAATCAAATTTTAGAAAATAATTCTGACTTTCATTAGAATAATTAAACACCAGAAATAACCATGAAAATTTCATGGTTTTGATATATGAATCTTAATTCTTGGAAGTTCCTCAAACACATCGTTAAATAAATGAGCTTAACAACTTCAACCAAATATTGTAATAACAGTCATAAATATGAATGCCGGTCATTGTTTTAAAAAGTAAGGGGGTACAAATGAAAAGATTTGAAAGTGACAAGTTTTTCAATCTTACTGAAGCAGATATGTGTATTAAAAAAAACACGTTTTTATGCTTTTCAGTTTGGCTGTTGTATATGATGTAAGTTTGAACTAATTCCAATTTTAATTTCAGCAATCTAAAAACACCACAATTTAGTCCAGTCTTGCTTGCCATATTGATAACATCTGGTTCTTGACAATGACTGATGATCAAAAGTACTTGAATATAACAGAAAAACACATGAACTTTGGACAATTTATTTGTAACTTCAATCCTGATATAAAGCACATCATTTGGAAATTGAAAAGATATAATAAAAAGTTGAATAGATAGACCTTTTCAGTCGAATTTGATAATACTTGTTATATATATATATATATATATATATGTGTGTGTGTGTGTGTGTGTGTGTGTGTGTGTGTGTGTGTGTGTGTATTGTGTATTTTGGACAGCAATGCCTCTTTTATACAAGTTTTGTTGAAAATGACTGATAAGGTGCTGTGGTTTTCAACAAAACTTGCATATATATATATATATATATATATATATATATATAGTATAAACAATTAGAAGATCAGCTTATGCTTAAAACACTATATGTTAAATATTTATCTTTTTATATGTATATTGAGTACTTTTTTAATACCACTGTTTGATTGGTTTAATTCATCTCTGACCATTAACATTTTTATTATTATTATATATATTTTATTTTTATTATTTTATTATTATTATTATTATTATATATATATATATATATATATATATATATATATATATATATATATATTCAATAAAAAACAAAATCACCTCATATAGGGTTTATGGGGTGTCTTATCAACCCCAGTATGGACTGAGATTGTGTCAGCAAATAGAAATTTAATTGTGAAAGCAAAAAAAAAAAGCTTGAAAAAATCCACTTGGATTATATAACAATGGATTTGTTACCTTTACTATATATATCTATATATATATATAAATATACACCAAATTCTGAAAGGTGTAATGAAAGAGAAGCAGCCATCATTAAGCAAGGTATTTTTTTCATATATTGAAGTGTGTTTAAAAAAAACAAGAATAAAAAAATTCAGCTTGACTGTTTATATAATATCACCTTGAATGACCTGAAATTGTTTTCATCAAATGTGAGAATACTGGAATTAAAAAAACAGTTGTGTAAATATATGCAGAGCAATCATTGATAATGAATGTAGCAACATTCGAAAGTGCTCAGGAAGAAAACAATATAAAATGAAAATAGATATGAACTTTGGCAAATTTACCAAAAATGCAAAACAATTGAGAGACAGAATTTGTCCATATTATTTAAACAAAAGTATTTGATGGAATTACTGCTGCTGAAATACACTTCTGAGATATATATATATATATATATATATATATATATATATGATGTCACACATTATGAAATGGACAAAGTCCGAAAATTATTTAAAGACATTTTTATGTTTATACATTCATTTTTATAGATACAAATATTTAAGTAAATGTTTTGTTTATAATAAACAGTATTAACAACATTTACCAGCCTGAATGTCTGAGAAATTTTCATAGAAAATATTCGTCCTCCGACAGGAATCGAACCTGTATCTTATACGGAACCATCATATAGCCTGATGTGCCTTTAACTGATTGGGCCACAGAAGTTAGCAAGGTCAATTTTACTGTCTTTAAACATCAATTTTCCATGAATCTCTCATGTACATTCATATCTGCTCAATGCGTATCCAAATGTAAACAAATGACGTCACACATTATGAAATAGACAAAGTCCGACAATTATTTTAAGACATTTTTATGTTTATACATTCTTTTTATAGATACAAATATTTAAGTAAATGCTCTGTTTATAATAAATATATATGAGGAAATTGTAAAACAAAATGGAAAAGTTTATTTGTGATGCGTTTCATCCATTAGGATTTCATTGGATTGTGTTTGTTGATGTTGTGTCTATGTATGTGCATGGATGAAAGATGCTAGTAGTATGGGGAAATGAATTGGGCTCTAGATAAGATTCCCACATGACGGATGCAGACATAGTAATAATAAAAGAATAAAACACAATTAACTTATGATTTGTACAAATTATATTAATCAACATTACAAATGGGTCCTTGCAAACTTAATGGTATCTAAAACAAAACATATTTGCTGAGCGTGATTTGATGATCATGCTATCTATGGATTCCATGTTGATAAGGGTGTAGAGATCACGCATTCAGCATGTGCTCATTCTGAAGGTTGTACCAAGAGTAAAGAGTTGTTCAAAAAAGCTAGAATAGTGTGCCAATCAGCAGTTGTGAGCTGATTGGCTAACTTTAGACTGCCAAGGGCAGATAATCGTGTAAATATTATTTCTCGTAGTGGTTTCAAAATTTTTTGAAAGAAATTTTGCAATCTAGCCAAATTCATCTATATTCTTTTTATTTTGAAACTGTCAGCATCTCTCGTTCATGCACATGTGTTGTCACAACAACGCCAACAAACCCAGTTTGATGAAATCCTAATGAATGAAACATTTCAAATAAACTTTTTCCATTTTGTCTTACAATTTCCTCAATACAGTTCTTGATATATATCATTATTTCATATATATATATATATATATATATATATATATATATATATATATATATATATATATATAAAATAATAATAATTTTATGTGGCATTTATTTGCACCAACTGAGTTCGAAAAGTGTGGATGGTTCTGCAAAAAAGCTTTCACCACTTTAATCAAATCACTTGTGTGGGTTTTCTTGTGGTTTACCTTGATTCATATATATATATATATATATATATATATATATATATATATTTATTAGTTACCCATTAGAGCCTGTTACATACATTACGTTTTTTTAATATGGGTGTTTTTTTTTCCTCTGTTTGTCTTTCTATGAATTTCTTCTTTTTAATTTTATGATATTCAGTTTCAGAACTTAAAAATTATTGAAATTTAAGAACATGAATAGTTTAATAAACAAAATTAAATTATTTGAAACGGTCAACACACAGACATATTCTTTTTGGAAAAGATGAAAACCGAGTCAGATACTGGGAACATCCATATTAAACAAACGTCCATTTTGAAAAATTGCTATGGAAGGAACAAGCTGTAAACAGGTAACTAAATAAAAAATATTCTTTTTTTTTATGTGAATTAAAAAGCTCTTTTAAAAATATTTAAAACAGGGCACACTCATATTTGTAAGAAAAGAAAATATATATACAAAATGGCAAAAAGAAAACTTAGCTTTATCAAGAGGCTTTATCAGGGAAAATGCAAGGATTTTACTTTGTAACAAGTATTTATATACAAGGTACAAGAGCAAAAAACTTATTTGTTTTTCAAAATTTATTAGTTTCAGAAGGCTCATAAATATTCATCAGTTTAGCTGAAAAGTTAGGCAAACTATGGCAGACATGAAGTGACACAATACAATGTTTAATAAACAAAAAAAGTGAGTAAGTGATGTTCTTGAATGTTTTTAATGCAAAATAGTAATTAAATTATTTTAGTTTGGGATTGATTTATGTGTTACAAATTTTGAATAACATGATGTTGAGAATTTCTTTTAAGTTTTTAACATCTTTGTAGTAATATATCTTGAATTGTTATTTTCAGCATCCTGACTGTAGAGCTTCGTAGATAGACCCTCTAGTAATTGCTTTGTCTACTTGTCTGTGATTTTTTAAGTTCAGCTGCTAATTCAGCATTATTGAACTGATCAGACTTACTGTTAAGACAGGAGTAAATAGACACTGAGTCAAGGACTAATGACATCAAGAAGGCCATTGAGAAAAATCAGGAAAAGCATAGGCCCAAGAATAGAGCCCTAGTGGGGTCACCTTATTTTCAGAGCTGATGTGTACTATACCCAAACCCCTCAACCAGTGAAGCCCAAGTCTGATTGGGGGCCTTGGGCAGTGTTTTGGGACCCTGTCTGTCTTATTAACATTTTCTTTTTTTCTACCTTCCTTTATATACATTACAAACTAAGCTAAGCACACTTTACTATTAAAGAATGAAACATTTTTGCAGATTTTGACATTCTTCTGAGTTCTTATTGTCCAAATCTGTGAATTTGGTTTGCTCATGTTCAAAAAAACACTATATATGAAAAAACACTATATAAAATTCACTATTTTTATCCATAATGTTGAATGTGCTAATATTATTCAACTTAGCAAGGAAAAGATCAAGTTAATATTTAAAATTGCCACAAAACATTGTTAATTTATTTAAGATGGAATAATCTATTATGACATGTCTCTAATTTGTACATATATACATTGTATTTACTTTCAATTTTTCTCGTTGAATTATTCATCTACAGGGGTGCAATGGGTAAATTGTCGCCATTTTTATATTTTTAATTTTGCGCATGTGCATTGTTTTTTTTTTATTTTGTTAACTGCACAGTATAGTTAGGTCAGTTGGGCACTGTTGGTGAGAAAAAGTGCACCATGACGCAATTTCCTTTGCCAGAAATTTGGAAACAGCATACTGTACTGCTTGGCATTTATACCGAAAGCTCCAATATGAACATTTCAGTGTGTTTGTGTGTCAGTGCAGAAGATTTGGAAAGAGTTGGATGATATATCCAGACAACATTATGGTATTTGGAGTGATCACTAATGATGGTGACATTATGCTTAGATTCATCTTCCTACAGGGCCTCAGACTCAACATAGACACTTGCATCATGTGCCTTGAGGAGGTAGTACTGCCCTGGGTCAAGGGAGTGCTATAAGCCCCTATGTCTGGCAACAGGACCCTGCACCATGCCACACCAGCAAGAGAACACAGTCAATTTCTATGGCCACATCACCCCTTACATCTGGCCACCTATCACCCCAAACTGCAACCTCCTTGATTATTATGTGTGGATTTCAGTTGAGCAAGAGACCAATAAAACTCCTTGTAATGCCAATGATAAACTGAGGGCAAGGAATTATGGCAGCATTCACCAACTTAAACAAGGAGACCCTTCGGAACAGATGCAGGAGATTCCAAAGCCATCTGGAGGCCGTGGTTGAAGCCAATGGTGATTTTATTGAATAAATTTACTCTTTAGTATTTCAAGATATTTTTGTGTAATTTTGGTAAATATATCTGTTAAAATGAGATGTCAGTGTTATTTTCATTTTTGCGTCACTTAAACGACAATTTATCCATCGCAACCTATACATCTGTTAAAATGAGATGCCAGTGTTATTTTCATTTTTGCATCATTTAGATGACAATTTATCCATCGCACCCTATACTTCTGTTAAAATGAGATGTCAGTGCTATTTTCATTTTTGCGTCATTTAGATGACAATTCATCCATCGCACCCTGTATATTGCATATGATCCATTATTGTACATAATTAGGTTACAAAAAAAATTTGTATTTTATATGGATACTACTTTATCAAAATTGATATGTAGTAGAGTGGGAGGGGGTGTATTATAGATTTGGTGGGCACAAGACCCTTGCACTGACCCTGCATGCATAACTGCAGAATGACCAAGAGATGCAGATTTATTTGTATTTGTTCTTGCTAAAAAAAAAAAAAAATTATTGTATGACATGAATAAAAGACATCTGGCCATTTTCCTTTTCATTAATAACTTGTGATTCAGTTTCATAAAATATTATGAAATTTCATTTTTAAAAAAATAAATAAAAAAAAGGTCAGGGGTCATTATATTTCCTTACCTTTTGACTTTTTGGTCCATTTCCCTTTGTTTCATCAGTCTGTCATGATTACTTTTCACCTGGGCGTGTTGACGTTCCAGCGAAGCCAAAAGATTCTCAAAGCCCTCCCTAAATGCAAGGCAAAAATTGATTGGTAATTAATATACAACTTAAGAAAATATGTTGAAAAAAATAAAATCAAGGTAAACATTCTCAACCTGAAGTGAATTCACTGCCGGGAAATCATTTTAGGATTTCAGGAAGAAATTTTAAGATGTTCTGACAGATTGTGACAGTGTACTTGAATTATTTTGCACCATTTGTTTCATCTTAGTTGTTACTGATGCTAATAAAGACACAATGTTTCGGTCAAGCACACTGCACCTATCATCAGGTTTCATAAGATTAAATCGACAATAATAATTATAACAATCAAGATTAAAATAATGGTTCCAAACAATAAAATTATACAGATTTTTCCAAATTAAATACAAAATTGTGAAAAGCTAATGTTTAAGGTTATGGATTGATTGATTAATTGATTTGGTTTTTATGGCTTATCAACCCTTTCTAGGTCAATTAAAGCCAGAATATATTTTTAGTTTGTAAGAAGTTTTTTGAGATATTAATTATTTAGTGATACAAATCTTAATAATTAACCCATATCTGGGAGAGAAGAGGTGGATTTATACTGAAACAGAATTTGATAAGCAAACAAGAAATTACAGGGTATGATGTATAAATTTTTGTCTAAATTTTGCAAAAAGAAAACTAACATCTCGCTTTAACAGATATATTTACCAAAATTACACAAAAATATCTTGATATTCTAAAGAATAAATTTATTCAATAAAATCACCATTGGCTTCAACCATGGCCTCCAGAAGACTTCAGAATCTCCTGCATCACTTCTGGATGGTCTCCTTGTTTAAGTTGGTGAATATAATCCTTGCTTTCAGTTTATCTTTGGTTTTACAAGGCGTTTTGTTGGTTTCTTCCTCAACTGTGCCCCACACATAATAATCAAGGGGGTTGCAGTCAGGAGAGTTAAGCGTCCAGGTGTAAGGGGTGATGTGGTCGCAGAAATTGTCTGACAGCCATGACTATGTTCTCCTGATTGTGTGGCATGGTGCAGACTCCTGTTGCCAGACATAGGATCTTCCTCTTGACTCAGAGTAGCACTACCTCCTCAAGGCACGATGTAGGTCTCCATGCTGAGTCTAAAGCCTTCACCAACAAAGTTGAGAGTTCTTTTCTTATCAGAACAATCAGAGGGAGTTTTCTGAGCTGCCATACCTTTGTAATGACCATTAGACTCATCCAACTCTTTCCAGATCCTCTGCACTGTCCTCAGATTGATGCAAACACTCTGAAATGTTAATATTGGAGCTTCCAGAGCGCATGCAAAGCAGTACAGTATGTTGTTTCCAAATTTTCTGGCTGAGTGAATTGCATCATGGTGCTCTTTTCCTCACAAATGGTTCCCGACTGACCCTACTATACTGAGCAGTCAACAAAATCAATAACAAACAATGCCCATGCATGAAATTAAAAATATAAAATGGTGACATTTTACCCATCACACCCTGTATAATGTGGACATAAAGATGGAATCAATTTTATATTATAATCAATATATAAATTGAACCCTCACTTTGTGACAATGGTAGTTTCAATACATTTATATTCTGGAGAATGTCAGTAAATCTAAAAGACATGCATTTATAGTTAATCAGTATTTCATTGATTGATCGATTTATTTTCTATAGCTTATCAAACATTTGCAGGTTATTTAAAGCCAGAAAATATTTTTAGTAAGAATTTTCCTTTTTTGTTTTTGATATAATAATGATTTAGTGATACAAATCTTACTAATAAACCCATAGCTGGGAGGAGAATAGGTGGATTCATACCTTTCTTGCGTAAGTAAATATAATGAACCTAACTGATAATGGAACTCAATTCTTCAATTACCAATTCCAAGCCATTATATCATATGCACATCAAAGCTTGCAGCTCATGGTATTCCCAAGTTGTCACCCATCTCAGCACTGACTAAGCTTGAAGTTGCTTAACATCACTGATCATATGGGAATTGGTGTTTGAACATGATGTGACTGAAAGCCTCAAGTGATGGATAGTCCATATTTTAATTATTTATTTCATTTATGTCTTATTTGGGTATTGGAAATAATATTATGGGATGTTATTTATTTGGGTATTGGAAATAATATTATGGGATGTTATTTAGTCTTTTGAGTTGCAATGTGGTTGCATGTAGCATCGTATGAAATTGTATTCATGTCTATATCTGCAAATTCACTGTCTCCAATATTAAACACTCTTCACTAATAAATATAGCAAATTTTATGCAATATAATTTATTTACACTATTTATTTGTTCAGACTGTTGTCCTCATCTTTATTGCCATATTCACAAGGTTTTGGCCATGTATAATTTTCCTTTTTTATACCATTTTCTCTAAAATTTTGTCGTTGCTCACATGTTTGGTCTCATGATATTCTGTAGAACCACATTTTTGTTGCTTCAAGTCTCTTCTTCAGATGCGATGTGATTGTCTGGTATTCTCTTTGAGTTTAAAAAAACAATTTTTCTGTTTTATTGAAATGATGAGACAAAATTTACTTTAAAAAAAAATTTAATCTAAAAGAAAAAAACAATACTTACCTGGATTGCATATTCAGGGATTCTTTTTGAATTTTGCATTTTTCGAACCGTTCTGTATTTGCTTTTTTCAGTCTCTGGAAAGAGGAAAAAGATGGTTGGAGAAAAGGTTGAGTGAAAAGATGAAAATATATTGAAAAAAAACATATTGCCAATAACTTGATAAAAAAAATGATGTTCCACTTTTTATTTTGTTGAGGAAGAACAGTTTTCATTTCTCTTCTTATTGTCTGAAATTTATTTCAGTGATATCTTCTTGGCATCAATTTAAATCAGCAACTTCTTTTTTTTTTCTATATGTCTAACATATAAATATATAACTATAATTTTGGAGAGTGAAAACTTCACAGAAGCAGATGGAAAATTTTCCAAATTATTGTCTGAAATCAGGAAAATATTAATTTTAAGCAAAATGGTGGCTATATGAAAAGAATTGGTGGAAACGCAGTGGAATAATGGATAGCGGCTTCGATTGAGGAATCAGAGTTCAAATTCCAATCAAGTTCATTACATTCAATTATGTGCAAATAGCCCAGAAAAGGTAAGAATTCATCTCTCCTGCCCTTCAGCTATGGGTTAAACAGCAGGACTGAATAGGTCCTATAGCTTTGGGTGACAACCAGTCTAGGAGAAGGACTACTCTGAATTCAAAACCATCCGCCCCCAACTATGGGTTAAATAGTCTCGTCAACTTGCAATTGGCCAAGTGTGGTGAGTAGAGCTACACACCTAGAGACATCAGAGAGTGGTTCCTCCAACAGGAGTGAGCAGTCCCTGGATTTGGATTAGGATGAAAAGAATATCATTTACACTATTTACATTGTTTGGACTGTCGTCCTCATTTTCTTTGACATATTCACAATGTTTCAGCTGTTGTACACTCTGGCCTTCTTCTGAGATGAGATATTGTATTTGTTGAAGAAGTAGAAGGGTGAAGACAGTTTTGGAGTTTATCAAGGCTGAAGAGTGAAGTCTGAGCAGCCCCCACCCAAATATGACAATGGTACTCCATTTTGGTTCTTGTAAACGTAGAGGATAACAGGAGGAGTCAGGTACTTACTGGAGCGGTACAACCATTTTACCTATATCTTTAGCAATGTCTTGTATGTACGAGTTCCACATGAGGTCAGGTTGTTGGTTTTTATTACGCTAGTAGTATCAGATATAATACAAGGTGGCCATAAAGTGTGGATGAAAACCTCTGCTTCACAAAAGACGGTTTTGTTCAACAACAAAGCTTTGTTAGTGTGGTTAACCAACAAAATACTTGGTATCAGTTGCAAAACAATCTGTATTGGATGGAACCTTCCAAACAGCAAAGAATGCTAAGGATTATAGTGCCGTATAGGTTGTGGAAAGCTCATGTTTTGGGTCCATTTTTCTTTGTTGGGTAACGTCTTCTTCTTATCAAGTTGCTACCCCACACTCATCCAGTGTTGCACACAGAGCCTTGCCCAGTGTGTTAAGGTTTCAATGGAGTTAACTATGCATGGATCTTCAACATTTGGGGCAAACTAGATGATGTTCCATAATTTGTGATTGCCCACATTAGCAGTTGGGATCAATATTGGTGGCATATCCCTATTTCTGAAGGTTGGTTCTACAGTGACCATCAGTTGTTCGGAGGTGATTCAGGCAGAACCTGAAGGGCCAGGCATCATGTGGAGCCAGAAAGAGGGATTCTGTAGGGCTTAGAGAAAGCCTGTGTTCCATTTTGTTAAGGTGGCTGCACCACAAAGACAGACACTGACTAGGAGCTCTGTTTAGTGTTTCGGCTGAAAGATGTCTTGACTTGAACTTTTTGGTCATTGGTTTACAGCCGTGGAGTGGATGACAAGGGTCAATTTCCTGCTTCAACTGTCCTTCTGATGTAAGGGGAAGCAATGCAACTAAGCAAGTAGAGGTCATCTACTTTGGTTGGCTTGAGACCACCTTGTAATCAATCTGCAAGAGATATTTCAGACAAGGTTGATTTTCTTTACATGATCTGCTCCACACTGCTGAGGCATATTTTGCTGTGGAGTAGCAACAGGCTAGAGCTGTGATGCGGATTGTACCGGCATCTTGGTTATTATACTCACAGTGTTTCAGTTGTTGTACCCTCTGGCCTTCTTCAGGTGTTTATCTTATTTTCTGCCTTTCTATTCAGAGTATCATGCTCATCATGGTTATTATATTCAATGTTTCGGCCCTTGTACAATCCTTCTTCAGGTGTTTGTCATTTATACTTTGCTATTCAGACAAGCTATCTCATCATAGTTATTATACACAGAACATTCTGGATGTTATAGCCTCTAGCTGTCATCAGTTGTCTATCTTTGTACTTGATAACCTCATTCGAATTTCATACTGAACTCTTTATTTAATTTGTGCTGTTTTCATTCTTAGGGGACATTTCATATCAGTTAATACTCACTATGAGTCATATTCACTTTCGTGTCTCTTATCTGTTTTTCCCCTGAACCAGAGTACGTGTCTTATCAATACTACCAAATCCAAGGTTAGTGGTGTGGCTTCTGTTATAGTGGTACAGTTCTTTGGCATTCCGTAGCACCAGTCCACACTGCTTGCAGAAGGATGGCCCTCACTAAGACCTACAGGCTTTATTCCCTCAAAGCTATTTTTAACCACTGATCTGGGAAAATGGTTGTATACAGTGGGTTTCACAATTTTTCAAAAGAAAATGTTTGGGCACAAATCAAGGACCACAAATGATAGAATAATAAAAATTACATTTAATGAAAGGTAAAAGGATGAAATTTTAGGATCAGCAGCCATTTAGTCTCAAATATGAACTAAAAATGCATAGTCAGTTTCGTTGTGCTTAAAGCTAGAATTCCTGTTCAGAAATTGATGTCACAGATTACTCAGTGAAGAAAACAAATCGCAAGTTCAAACTCAAATATCAGGAGCAGAAAGAAATGTCGAATTCTGGCTTTGCAGGTCAAATGTCACAAATTCCATTGCGTGTAAACAGAAAAATAGCAGATGCGTCAGCAAACGCTGCAGCAAAATAAGCAATTTTTTTCCTCCAATTCAAGAACACCAACTGCTTTTATTGATGGAACATTTTTTTTTTCATTCATTGACAAGTGGTAGAGGACACACAATATTAGCATATCCGAGATACTTTTATGGCAACACATGCGGCTGACTTGTTTCTTTTTGGATATTCCGTCTTTGGCATATCATGCAGAATACGTACCCTTTTTCGTAGTAAGTAACTTTCTTTTTTGCCACATTTTCTGTCATAGAATACACCCGACACACTGTTTCTTGGTTTGACAAGGTAATTCGGCATCTTCTTCACTACAAAATGCTCCAGATGTCCACTGTTCAGTTTAAGGCCCTATTGAATACAAAGTTGTTGATGTGCACATTCCTCTTGCGTGATCACCTGAATCTTCTCAGTGATGGTTACCTTCAATACTCCAATGGTGCAAGGGTTGCCCTGGTAGATGTTGTCGTTGAGGAACCTCCAGAGGAAAAATCTGGTGGGATTCAGTTCAGGCGAGTGAGGTGCCCATTCCACTTCAGCTTTGCAGCTGATGAGATGCTCCTCAAACTTTTCATGGAGCCATGCCATCATAACATTAACAGTGTAAGGAGGAGAACCATCCTGCTGAAACCACTATTCCTCCTCATCAAGGTTCTCACACTCGCTCCTCGAGCTCTCCCCATCTGAGAGGCCACCGCTTTGATTCAAGAATTGTGAAACCCTCTGTACAGCTGCTTTGCTATTCAAACCAACATGCCCATCTTCGTTGTTCTACTCACAATGTTTCTGCCATTGTACTCTCCAGCCATATTCAGGTGTCTTTGTACACAGTAACCATACTGGAACTTTGAGCAAAACACTTTATTCAACCAACAAGGGGCGATTGTTCTCATTCCGCATTTTGAGGTTCAGGGGAGATAACTCATATCAGTTAATAGTCACCAGTCTTAGTCACAATTGTATCAGTTTTCCTTTTCTTTCACTGAACTAGATAGAGTATGTCTTTTGTCAACACTACCAAACCTAGGGATTTAACTTACATATGTCAGGAAATTAAGTTAGTTTTAACCAACACTATAATTCATGTACCTGTAGTGGTGAAATGCTGAAGCCTTAAAACTCATGTCTGTGCTACATGAGTGTCCTGACTCAGGTGATGGTGGAATTTTTGTGTAGAATCCTTTCTTTTTTAATCAGTCTCACAGATGGGGTTCATCACTATGCTAGGTCTACTGAGGTGGTTTTCACTGCCTAACCTGTACACTGATTCTTTCTGTCATTTTATCCTCTACTATTGTTCTGTACAATCTCTTGACCTTATTCCACAGGAGTTGATGACCACCCCTTTCCATCCATATATGATCAGCTATGTCTGATTTCAGTGTCACTCTTGGTACAAGATTTTGTGTTTTCTTCAACCCTTCCTTTTAGAACATGGCTAGTCTCTCTTTTTGCATTCCTTGTCACAAGAAACTCAGGAAATACTACATCAACCACAATTAATTTAGTAAGTATTTATGTTTCACTATATAGTAATGTTTACCAAGTAAGTATTACAGGTTATAACTACTATAGTCTAGTTTTCACTGGGTACACGATATTTGTGGCCTTGTGTCAGACTAAACTGAGTAAATAATGTTGAGGCAAAATAATTTCACAGTGAATTTGATTTGGGTGCCCAAGACATGACCTTGTGGCAGACTAGACTAAACTTATATATATACATTGCTGTGGAGCAATGAGTAGTAAATCCATTATTTCTTTCATGAGTTCGATCCTTACTCAGTGCTCTTTACTTGAAGCCTTGTTCCATACTAAACTAATCCTAGAAAATATAAAATAGCAAAACAGTCTTGAGTGGGTTTTTGAACACCTTAATAGATGTTCTGAAGCAGTGGCCTTGTGCCAGGCTATACTTAGTAAATAACTATGCATGAAAGTAAGTAATATACAAAAGAGTGTTAAAAGTTCTCAGCCCAACCAAGGAAGGATTTTAAAAATCTTATGTTTGACCTTTTCAGAAGTGTGTTTAGCTGATAACTTTTCAGCACCACACTCGTCGATATCTCTCAAGGTTAGTTTATTACGTGACTATACTATATTATGGGGTGCTGTAAAATTGTTGGGGTGATCAAGAAGCCATTCCAAAAATAACTCTGATATTTAGACATGATTTAGATAGATTTTGGTAAGTGTGGCTGGCTGAGAATTTTTTCAGTCATAAGTATCTATCAAGATAAGTCTGTGACATGACTATACAATATGAGGGGTTGCTGGAAAGTTATCAGCCTAACCAAGTAGTGCTTTCAAAAATAATTCTGATGTATGGTCATTTCATCAGATTTTGAGAAGTGTTGCAGGTTGAGATCATTTCTGTTCGTATACATCTCTCGAGATAGTCCTGCAACATGACTATAATATATGAAGCGAGGCTGAAAAGTTGTCAGCATAACTGAGTCTATGAAATAGATCTGGCTGGGAACTTATAAGTGACCCCTAGTTATTTCAAAATGTCACACTATGGATTTTAAAATGGTTCATATTAATTCATTCATTTTTTTATCAATTTTTTTCAGGTTATTTAAAGCCAGAAAATATTTTTAGATTGTAAGAATTTTTTTTCGAGATAATAATGATTTAGTGATACAAGTCTAATTAACCCATAGCTGGAGGGAGAAGAGGTGGATTCAAACTTAATCAGGATTTGATTAAAAAAAAAAAAACAAGAAATTGTAATTTGGATAAAAAAATGGGGGATCAATTCTATATTACAATCAATATATAAACTGATCCCTCACTTTGTGACCACGATAGTTCCTATACATTTATACCCCAGAAAATGTAAATAAGTCTAAAAGACATATCTGTGTAGCTAACCAGTATTTCATTGACTCATTATTAACCCTTTGCAGGTTATTTAAAGCCAGAAAATATTTTTAAATTTTAAGAATTTTTTTGAAGATAATAATGCTTTAGTAATTCAAGTCTTACTAATTAACCCATAGCTGGGATCCATACTTTTCCGAAGAATATTTGTGCGTAAGTGAATATAACAAACCCAACTGAAATTGGAACTCGGCTCTCCAATTATCAAATTCTGAGCCATTATCCATTACACCACCCGTACATCCAAGCTTACAGCACCTTGTATTCTCAAGCTAGATTAGTAAGAATTTTGAATTTACAAGCAAAGAGATTGGTAAACGTACTCTAGCATTTTGGTGAATCGTCTTCATCTTCCTGATGGAAGCATTCTTTAAATCTTCCTTTTGTTTTTCTTCGATTCTTCTCCGCATTTCCTCTTCTTCTTTGTCGAGAACTTTCAAGTTTTTCTCCTAAACCAATAAAGAAATAAATTTCTAATCACTTCAGTGTCAGAAAGATATATTCTGGGAACGAATGTCATGCTCCCAATGATCACTTTATTACTAACCATTCCTTTGTCTTTTTAAAAATAAAAATAGGTTATGCACAAGCAGGGTCGGTGCATACTACCCCAGCCAAGCCTGATTGGGGCCCCGGGCAATGCTTTGTAACCCTCGCTATCTTATCAACATTTGCTTTTTGCTACCAACGTTTATATACGCTACAAATTAAACTAAGTACAAACTATTAAAAGATGAACAATTTTTGCGGATTTTGACATCGTTCTGGTTTTTCTTTTGTCAAATCCATGAATTTGTTTTGTTCAGACTAAATGTCGAAAAGACACGATATAAAATTCACTATTTTTTATCTATAATGTTGAATGTGTTAAAATTATTCAACTATTTAACACTCTCTACTTAATGTTAAAAACTGCCGCAAAACATTGTTCATTTAAGATGGAATGATCTATTATTACGTCTCTCTAATTTGTATTTAGATACATTGTATTTATTGCTAGTTTTTTCTAGTTGAATTGTTCACTATTGCATCACCACCCTATGTACATAATCAGGTTACAATAAAATTTGTATCTTATATATGAATACTACCTTCATTGAAAATTGAGATGTAGAAGAGTGGAGGTGGGGGCGTATCATAGATTCGCAGGTGGGGATATGAGACCTTTGCACCGGCCCTGAGCACAAGTCTTTGTTGCTTAATTATTAATAATATGGAAAAATGCATATTAGAATGAAGAAAATAAATGGTAAGATGGTCCACCATCATATCCAGTGTTAATCTTTCAATATTGAATTTCTAGAATTTTCATAAAATTATTTATGGGTTAATAATATATATATATATATATATATATATATATATATATATATATATATATATATATATATATAGTTTAGTTTAAAAACTAGGTAATCCGTATGGGTAGATCCAAGGAGGATGATATCCGGAGAGCTCAATGTAAATTCAGAGCAAATATGTTTGAATAAAAACAGACCACTTTAAGGTTCCATGTAATAAATTATTTCACCACAGCCCTTTTAAAGGGCTCTGGATCATCAGACTTTACTTCCAAAGGTTGAAATGAAAAATCTTTCTTTTTCATTTCAACCTTTGGAAGTAAAGTCTGATGATCTAGAGCCCTTTAAAAAGGCTGTGATGAAATAATTTATTACATGGAACCTTAAAGTGGTTTGTTTTTATTCAAACAAATATATATATGTATATATATATATATATCATGACTTAAAAAAAAAATTACATATTTATAATAATTTCCATCATTCCTGAATAGTTTCTGAAAGTTTCATTAAAATCTGACAATTATTTCTATTATTGCAAGATTTTCAAAATTAATGTCTGTCATTAAAAAAAAAAAAAAATGCACTAAAATTTGCTATGTTATTTAATACTTTCGCTGACCTGAAAAAAGAAAGATTTTTTTTTAATCAAAAGTTTAAATGTTCTAAAAAGACGGAAAAATGTTTTAGAAATAATTAAAAAATACTTTGTTCTTTCCTCTTAATAGTAACATAAACATTTTGACGATAAAATTTTGCTTTCGTCAAGTTTAAGGCCGTTTTTATCATGCTCATTTTCCAGCAATCTCGTGGACATACCTAAATGAATAGTAAAATAAAAATCAGTTGTTACTTCGACTTCTATCGCTTATCCATTCATCCAATTGAACGAATTAAGGATATGTCAACATGACAGAGAGAATTAATGGTAAAGAATTAATGAAGCCATGGAAGCAGCAAAAGCAAAAGAAAAGAGAAACTGAGGCGAAGCCCCTGGGGGGAAAAAAGAAAGAAAAAAAAACATTAAAGAATTTACGTCATCTTAAAAAAGGTAAAGCATAAGATAAGATATTATCAGCTGCATAAAATCGTAGATCTTCGCATGATGAATCCATATTTTCATACATACTTTTCTTCATTCTATACACAATTTGTTTCTTTTGTGTTATAAAAAGAAAAACAAAACATTTTTCCGTTTCGTATCTACTTTGTAAGGAATTTTATAACTTGTTTCTTTCAACTTAAAAGAAAACAAGAAAGATTATTTACATACTCAATAATAAAATTGTTTAAATTTGTGGAGCTATAATTGAAGATTATTACTTTTGGGTTTTCACACACTTTTTCCTTCATATACACAAAGTGCGATGGGTAAATTATCGCTATTTTATATTTTTTAATTTCGCGCATGGGCGTTGTTAGTTTTTGATTTTGTCGACTGCACAGTAGGGTCAGTTGGGCACTATCTGTGAGAAAAAGAGCACCATGACACAATTCACTCTGCCAGAAATTTGGAAATGGCACGCTGTACTGCTTAGCACTCATGCCGAAAGCTCAAATACGAACATTTCAGGGTGTTTGGGTGTCAATCTGAGGATGGTGCAGAGGATTCAGAAAGAGTTCGATGAGTGACTTTGATCGTCCTGATAAGAAAAGAACTCCCGAATTTGTTGGTGATTGCCTCAGACTCAACACGGAGGGCTACATCAACTGCCTTGAGGAAGTAATACTGCCCTGGAAGACCCTATGTCTGGCAACAGGACTCTGCACCATGCCACACAAACATGAGAATCTAGTCATAGCTGTCAGCCACATTTCTTTTTCTTTCCCCTTGCATCCACACACGGTAACCTACTTGATTATTATGTGTGGAGCGCAGTTGAGTGAGAGACAAATAAAATTTCTTGTAACCCCAAAGATGAACTGTAGGCAAGGATTATGGCAGCATTCACCAACTGGAGACCGTCCAGCATAGTTGCAGGAGGTTCTGAAGTCTTATGGAGGCCGTTGTTGAAGCCAATGGTGATTTTATTGAATAAATCTACTCTTTACTATTTAAAGATATTTTTGTGTAATTTTGGTAAATATATCTGTTAAAATGAGATGTCAGTGTTATTTTCATTTTTGTGTCATTTAAACGACAATTTATCCATCACTCTCTCTCGGTAAATATATATATATATATATATATATATATATATATATATATATATATATATATATATATGGCCTGTAGATTGTGAAACAGATAGTTGCCACTGGGTGTTGACCTCAGTGTCCATTTTTATATTTAAATAGGTTCTATCACAGATATTGATCGATTTAACACTTAAATATAACATACTATAAATTATATTTTTATCACACACACACAAACACACACACATACACACACACACACACACATATATATATATATATAGCCACCCTCTCTCTGTCTCTCTCTCTTTCACACACACACACACACACACACACACACACACACACACACACACATATATATATAAACATACTCGTGAGTAAATGTATATCATATATATATGAGAAAATGATATATAGTTTTTTACATATCAAGATAAATTTTAGAATCAGTGACAAACTGGAAATTTTTTTTTAAAGGAAACATATATTTAATATATATTAAGAGATTCTTCATAAAATCCAAAGAAGAATCTGCAGCGTTATTGATCCTGACCTGGCATCTCGCCTTCAATCACTTTCCCTCCGCTGTAGCGTAGCCTTTTCTATAAATTTTTTCATGGTAATTGAACTTTCCTCTTTGGTACCTAGACTTTATGAATTAATGTGCAGTAATAGATTGGCAGCAATGTGTCATCATTTTACAGTTCAAATAACTAGAGATAACCGCAAGTTCTATGCTGATAGTTTCTTCTATTGCACTTCTTGGTTATAGAACTCTTTCACAGCTGCTTCCTTTCCAGTCAACTTTGATCTTCAAAAATGTAAATACAATGACAATTGTTATCTTCTTAATTCTTGTTCTTTTATTGCTTTCTCTCCTTAATCGTATATTTTTCTCGTATTCTCTAACCCTCAATAACCCTTTGCACCTTAGTGACATTATTGTACTTGTACTTGATGCAGCATTCACCCTGGGCGGATTGAGCCGGCTTCTTAATGAAATTGACTAAACTATATATTAAAATTTCAGTGTCTCCTGTCTGTAGTCACATCAACATAAATATCACTTTAGTTTTAAAAAAAATCCTTAAGGATGAAATGCGTCACACGCAAACTTTTTCCACTTTGTCATATATTTTCCTAATATATATATATATATATATATATATATATATATATATATATATATATCCCTAGCAAAAAACAAAAACAAAAAACAAACTAGAACACCCCAAAATTAAAATTGGTGTTATGTCTAGAGCTGGAATAACTCGTGACAAAAACGGCAACAGTTGACAGAAAAGAAGAAAAAGAAAAAATGGAGAAAAAGCTAAAGGGTGAGTGTAATGTGATAAAAAAAAACGAAAAGGACAAATGGTCAAGGCACACTACACGTACACACATCCATGCAGACGGGCGCATTCTGTAGAGACGGGTGCATGGCTGCACGCGCGCAAATGCACACACAAAATACCGAAAAAAAAAACTTACACCAATGTTAAACGTATATAAAAAGGAAAAAAATAGAAAAAATATAAGCAGTAAATTGCTGATACCTACTGAAGAGTGGATAGACAGGTCTAACTAAGTTAGCCGGGATGCTGAAGGTAACATCAATCCTATAATCTCATTAATCATATATATATATATATATATAAGGAGAGAGAGAGAGAGAGAGATTATATCAGCCTTTTCCTCTGCCTCCAGTAGAAATCAGCCCTTCAATTTAAATGGGAAGTAAGGGTCTTTAACCTGCCATTCTGACCCATGACATGCTGGCAATTTGAAGCCCAAGTTGATCTTCTTGATTAGTTGTCCTGCCAGGACTAACGAGCCTTAGTAACAAGAGTGGAGAAGAGATACACTCATCCTTTTCACAAGGGCATTAGTGTGAAGTGAGTGCAACTGCCTCATCAAGAACTTAACTCAGCCTGCTAATTTCCATTTTCCACACTAATAACCATTACAGCACTGTACATTATATATCTATATAGTTTTACGTTTCC